CGCGGGCTCCAGCACTCCGGTCACCTGCCGCTAGCTCGCCCCACCTCTACACCGTACCCAGGCTCCTCCCACCCGCGGCCCCCAGAGACCAATCTTCTACGCATGCGTTACCGCGACCTGCGCAGGCCCAGTGGCCTAGCGGCGCCCGGGGACCGCCCGGCCCCGCCTGCTCCGCCGCCGCCGCAGCTGCTTCGGGAAGGCAGGAAGGATGAGCTGAGCCTCGGCCGCTGATACCGCCGCCCGCGCCGGTCACAGGTGCTTTGGGTCAGGCCGGAAGCCCCGTTCCTGTGCTCTCTCCCAAGTCCCTTCCCGCCCATTCCTGGGCGGGCTGCGGCCTGGCTCTGCAGGTGGCGGCCGGGGAGGCTGCAGGAGGTAGTTTGTGTACAGTTGCCATGGAGACGCGGCTGGGCCGAGCCCAGCCGGCTGGAGGGCATGCGGGGTGATGCGGCTGCTGCGCAATGCTCAGTGGGGATCTAAGGAGTAGCCAGCGTTGCCGGGAGTGGGAGAGCCGCTGGCTGGGCGGGCGGGGCAGTGGGCACCGCAGGTTCACGCAGGACCCCGTCTGCTGCCGTGGGCCTGTGCCCCCAGGGAGGAAAGAGGCGATCCTCCGGAGTGCCCTGTGCATGCTTTCCTGGGTTGCACTGTGACTCGGTGTCATACACTCAGCCCTTTGGAAGCTGCGTGCTTCGTGATAGCCATACCAAACCAAGCCCGCTGCCACCAAGTCATTCCGACTCATCGACCCAGTTTCGGGCATATAGAACTGCTCGGTAGGGTTTCTGAGCCTGTAAATCTCAGGCGAGCAGGCTCGTCTTTCTCCAGAGTGGCTGGTGGTTTGGGACCTTCGACCTTGCTTTTGGCAGTCCGCTGCTTAAGCCGCAGCACCACGAACACTTCATGTGGTATTTAGATGAAAGAGCGACAGGCAAACGGCTTTCCTTGGCTGACGGAGGCAGGGTCACAGCAGAAATGGTCACTGGGCCCTTGTACACTGCGGGTGGGACTCAGATTAAGTGCGTGTGGAACCGTAAGGAGCCGTGGTGGCACAGTGGCCTTCGCACTGAGCCACTTCACTGCAAGGTCAGCCTTTGGAAGCCACCAGCTGGTGGAAAGGGGGGAGATGAAGCAGCCCGCTTCTATAACATTTTACAGCCTCGGAACCTCATGGGGCAGTTATACCCTGCCCTATACGGCCAGAATTAGAATTGATTCAGTGGCAGTGGTTATGTGGAACCATCTATGTAAAATGCATTGTAGCTATTCCTAAGACCTTTTATCATCAGTTCCCAGGAGTGCAGTAGCAGATCTCCCTAAAAATCCCGGATTTAGATTTTGTCTTGATAGAAAAGCAAGGGGCACGGTTGGTTTGTAGTCTAATGTATGGATCTGAAAAAATCTGATTGTGGGTTTCAAATAATTGATGGCCAATAAAACACAATATACAGTTTCATTAAGGAAAACAATCCCAGCCTGTTTACATTTTTAAACTTCTAAAATGTATCATGCTTGGTAAAGTGGAAGGTCAGCAAACAACAACAAACCCTGAAGGAGATGGATTAGCACAGTGGCGGCACCAATGAGCTGAAACTTAGCGATTGTGAGGATGGCGCCAGCCGGGCAGTGTTTCGCTTCCATTGTACCTAGTGTCGCTGTGGGTTGGACTCCACTGGCCAGCACTGAACAACGGCAAAAGTGAATGAAAACATTAGACAAACACCTCTGTCTCTCTTCTTCTACTTAAAGGCAGATTTTCATTCATGAGAGACTTTTTTCTTCTGTTGCTTAGCACTTAGTAACTTAGCACTTAGACAAATTGTAAACCTTGTTAAAGGTCCGGGCACCATGCTAAATTAAAGCACTTTACATAGATTCTTTCATTTAGTTCTCTGAACAATCCTGTGAGGCAAGTACTAGCACTCATTTTGCAGATCAGGAAACAGGCTTAGAAATGATTTTGAAGCTTAAATAGGTGTTGGCAGAGTGGAGGTGAATCCTTGCTCCAACCTCTAAACACTTACGCAGTGCATTGTGGCTGCTCAGATTGACACAAACCAAACTCACTACATTGAGTCAATTTTGACTCATAGTGACCCTATGGGAAAGTATAGAACTGCCCTGTGAGTTTCCAAGACTGTGCCTCTTACCGGGAGTAGAAAGCCCCATCTTTCTCCCGAGGCATGGCTGGAGGGTAACCACTACACCACCAAACTCATCCAAAAATCATGCCAGGGGACCTGGGCACTTGATTTGCAGGAAACAGGGTGGAGACGGTCAGCCTTGGCCCTACTGCAAATACCCTGATCATGCATTGTTGCATTGAGCAAAAAGTCACTGGTTCAGTCCACTCTTTAAACTTGTATTTGAACTTTCCACTCAAACCAAAAAAATATTTTGTTAACAAAAAAATCAAAGAAAGTCTCCTATTTCTGATTTCCTACTGCTGGTGGCTTTCATTCTCTGAAGGTCCTGTGCCCAAACTAGGGACATGTAGTTTAAGACAGAGGGCAACCCTTCATACCCTTCAAAGCCAGCTCTCTTTCTGTTGTCTACATCCTTTGAAAGGATCCTTCCCCCCATCACCCCCCCACCCCCACCCCCGGCCCAGATCTGCATGCTCCATGGAGCCCTGCCCTCTTCTTGTCTTCTCGGGTACCGCATCCTCCTGGTATTCTGCTCTTGGCTTGTCCGAATCCCTCTTCTTCCTTCTATTTCAGCCTCGCTCCTGTGTCTCGGGTTTTCAATAGCACAACGTGTATTGGTCCTACTCTTTGCTAGCCCCCTTGAAACAAAGGCAAGACAAATTATGTGTGTACACGTGGCCTCAAGAGTCAGATGCCATTTCAATGGACTCCAAGCATCCATTGACCGTCATCCCTAACATATACCTCAAAATAAGGCACCCCTGTGACCTTCATCTGGAAATGTATCGACTTAGGTCCACTGAGGTCCTTGGGGACATGGAGTCCCCATGATTATGCAAGTTCTGGCCATTAGTGGTGCCTCATGGGTATGTGGGTGGTGGTGAAGTTGAACCCCAGAGTCCAGAGGCCCTACACCACTGAGACCACTCACCTGGTAAGGGGAGAGGGTTGGGGCCCAGGAAGTCTTCTATGAGAAAGTGCGGGAATGCCCCACTTCTAATTTCTCCTCCATTACATCCTGCGCCTGGTCTCCTCCAATCTGTTATTTCCAGAGATCTTTCTTTTGACGTAGCTGGAATTTCCTCCTTGGTTCCTGCCCTTGTGCCAGCCACTCTCACGTGCCCAAATCCTGCCCATTTTTCAGAACTTGGTTCAAGTATCACCTCTTCCAGGAAGTCTACCTTGAATAGTTTGAATATCATCTCTCTGGACTTACTCATGTCACAACTTTCCCCCACCCCTTGCTGTTTTAAGACTGCCCACCGTACAAAATTGTCCTGGGAATTAATTTAGATAATGTACCTGAGGGCACATTAGCACTGGGTACTATAAACATCTGACATTAGTGTGGACATCCTTGCCTAAGGGTGAAGACAGTATTATTTTCCTCTCCGTTTTCCAAGAGGTTTGAACAGGTGACTGCACATTGGGGACAGTTGAGACTACTAGTTGAATCAATCCGCTTCAATGATCAGGAAACCTTTGATCCAGGGTCTCACAATGAAAGTGAGATTTGGGGCCGAGAAGAGGGAGAGAGAATGTTTGTGTTGGAATCTGGGGTACAGTTTCAGAGAAAACTGTTTGTAGACCCATTGTGTACATTGTTTCCACCAGTAGTTCCAGATAACCTGGATCCTTGTGTGCCCAAATAACTCCCAGAGTTCTTGGAATTTAGCCTGAGCAAATGTTCTTGCCCAAAGGGCAGACCAGAATCTAGCCACGGAGACCCTTCTGTGAGGAATATGGAGTCCCTGGAGGGCACAAATGGATCCCTAATGGAGAAGTTGACCATTCAGACCCACCCATAGGCACCGTGCAACAGAAACCTGTGCAGCTCCTTCCAAAAGGTCCCAGCCTTGAAAAGCCTCCTTTCTAACACACGGGGCTGCCAAGAGTCAGAATTGGCACGAGGGGAGCTGGCTTGGCTTTTGGTTTTCATTTCTTCAAAGCACTTTCTCCAGCCTTTGCTGCTTTGCCAGGAACAACTTTGGACAAAAAGACTGCAAGAACCACGTTGGTCAGAAGGGTAGCAAGCTTGATCTGGGCACTGATGGTTCATTGTAAGAAAAGTGTTCTCGCTACATTTTGTACTTTAAAAACCAACCAACTTACCTTGCTCACTGCCATTGAGTCAATTCTGACTCAGCAACCCTGCGAGTTTCTAAGGATGTAACTATTTATGGGAGTAGAAAGCCCCATCTTCCTCCAGAGGAGCAGCTGGTGGTTTTGAACTGCCGACCTTGTGGGTGGCAGTCCAACTCATAACCACTACACCACCAGGGCTCCTGGCAGAGACCTTGCTTAACAAATTCAAAATCCTTAAACCCCAATTCTGAGGGTCCTTTTTCAATGTTTTATCTCAACACCTGGCCGTGCCCTATGAAAAGAATCCCATATTGTGTGTGTTTTCATCTTACTCTTTTTCTCAGAAGAGCCGTGGGGTGGGGCCTGGGTAAACGGAGCAGATGTTCTTGGTGCCTTGTTGTTGTGGAACAACGTAATGGATAGGCTCACAAGATGGTAAATCTGTGTTTGTTTTAGGGCTCACCTGTTGTTACGTTCCACGTGTGGCAGTGAAGTCGTGTTAGCTTCCTTGGGGCCTCCCCGCCCCTGAAGTTGTAGAATCGGGCAGCTGAAATGCATGAATGCTTTTTAGACCTTCATCTTCCTCGAGCACAGGTTCCCAGACTTATTGGGCCTACTGTTCTCTCTTCAGAGAGAAGACTACTCACGACCTCCCCTGCCCAGGAGAGACTTTTCACTAGCGCCCATGATCCAGGATACAGTGCAGGTATCTGCGTTTGCAGCCCCCTGGAAGGTTCCAGCACCGCTCACTGGACAAAACCGCCCACTTTGGGAAACACTGCACAAGAGCTGTAACATTTTTAGGGGTTAGAAGGTTTTTGTTTTGTTTTGTTTTGAAATGATGATCTAATTCTATGTACTGATTGGGATTAAATTAAAAACATTTTTTTTTAAAAAAGAGAGAGAAAGAAAGTTACCCAGACCTCCCTGGGGGCACACCCGCACTTGAGGAGGATCTGCCAGAAGGCGAGGCTCTTACGCCGGACGTTGAAGCCCTAGGGCTGTAATGGTTATGTGTTTGGGCTGCGATCCACAAGGTCAGCAGTTTGAAACCACCAGGTGGTCCCTGGGAAAAAGATGAAGCTTTCTATTCCAGTAAAGAGTTCTGTCTCAGAAACTCACAGGGACAGTTCTACCTTGCTCTGTGGGGTCACAGGAGTCGGCATCTACTCGATGGCAGTGAGTTTGGATTTTCTGGTTTGTGCAGGACTTTACCTTTCTAACTGAGGAGCAGGCCTGGGAGAGACCCATACACTCTTGCGGCTGGATATGTATCCATCTTGGACACTGTCTGAGATTGTAGGTGATTTGAATCCGCTCATTTAAGTGCTCGATGAACAAATGTGGGGCTGAGTAGACGTTCTCTGGCGGCTGCTATAAAAGCAAGTACAGTTTGTAAAGAAGCTGCAGCCTTGTACAATGGAGCCTCGGCCTTCACCTTTTGTGTGGAAAGCAGTGGCGAACACAGGGGCACAACTGCGCTGTAGATGGGAGGGCCGGAGACGATGCTCTCTCCTGTTCTGCTGTGTTCCCTGAGTTAGCTCCTTCTCCACCAGGGTCAGCTCTTCCCGGGCCTCTCCACTGCCCACTTGCCCCTCAGTCACAGGGAGATCCTGGCCGTCTCACTGGTGTGTTTGTTTAGCTAGAAATTGTTGGTGACCCCCCCCTGCCAAGTGTCATATAGCGGGGTGATTTAAGCTCCTCTGGTTGGGTTTGAGCACTCTTGTTTAACTATGGGATAAAAATTAGTTTTGGCGGTTTCTACCATGTCTTCGCAGTGTGTGGTGCCTACCCGAAGAACGTGTTCCTTTTTAAAGGAAAGATGCTGTCTCCCAGTGACAAAAAGTTCGACAAGCTGGATCCGTTTTATCGACCCTCGATGTCCAAGCAGAAGACCAGTGCAGAAATCATCAGTGAAGCTCGCAATGCCCTGAGGACAGTGAGAACCCAAAGGCCCTTTACGCCCCGGGACGACCAACGAAAGCTATTTGGACCTGCATCTTCAAGAACACCAGAAAACAGACCTCCCTCCTCCTTCAGGTATGTGGCAACTTTCTGACGTGCACTTTTAGACATTTAGGCCATTGAATGACACCCCCTTCACCTTTCCTCGTGAATAGTTGTTTTTGAAGCATGACTAATTGTACCCCAGAGTCCCTGGGTGGTGCAAATAGCTAAAGCTCTCAGCTCCCAAAGGTAGGAGGTTCTAGTTCATGTAGAGATAGCTCGGAAGAAAGGTTTGGGGCCATCTCTTTCCGAGAAATCAGCCAAACCTCCCTCCAACACCCCCATAGTTGCCATGAGTTGGCATCGACTAAATGGCAGCTGGTAATGATGCCCCTGGTAGCTACTCAGGGCTCCTAAAGGCAATCCTAGACCTAGGGTCCAGGAAGTTGCTTTGGATTGGAATGGTTAATAGAGGTGGCCACCGTATCATTGAGATCCATGGGCAGAACGTGGAGCATGCGGGCCCACTTGGTCAGTCGAGCTGTTCACCCAAGCCCACAGTGAGGACCACATCAAGATGATGCCACCTACCACCTGCTCACCGGCCAGGTACCTGTGATGCCCGCCTACCCACTGTGCCTCAGCCCTGCTCACACCTCAGCAGTCCCTCACGCCCCCTCGGCAGAACCCACCCACAGGCGCTTGCTATGTGGAAAAATTGATCTCACTGGGGAGGGGAAAATAATAGTGGTTGTCACATCAACTTTTATAACACTAAAAAAAAAATCACAGTCGCCATTTATTTTTCAATAGTTTTTCTTTTCTTGAGCCCTCGTGGCCCTGTGGGTTAAGCATTGACTGCTCACTGCAAGATTGGTTGTTCAAACCCGCTAGCCACTCCGAGCGTAGGGAGATGAGGTTGTCTGCTCCCTTAAAGATTCCCAGCCTCGGAAGCCCTGTGCACGGCCAGCTGTGCGCCAGAGTCCACTCAGTGGCAGTGGACTGGGCTTGGTTGGCTTGAAAATGCAGTGAACAGACTTATTAGGAAAATATTAGAAATACTATACCATTTAAACATTGGCTTCTTCCTCAAGGCCTATTTATTGAAAGCTTTTGTTTCTTTTTTGCTAGAGTAAGCTCACATAGACTAGAAAGACAAGAAAACGGGTATTCACAAACCAGTGCTTCTTGGCTTTGTCTTCTGCCAGCCTC